GGCGGGACCCTCGGGCGGCGGGCGGGGCACCGGGCTCCCATCCGCCGGTGACCTTGCACAGCTCCCGTCCTCTCTCGCTCTGCGTCCTCCATCCGTTTAACGAGTGGGCAGTCCCGTGGCCGCGGTTTTGTTTGTACTGGGATTCAGAGGGTCTGTGAAGCGGCCCTCCAGAACGTATTTAGCGGACAGGTCCATGTGTATGTGTATTTTCTGGGCAGACACGGTAGATTTCATCAGATCCCCAAAGGGGAGGCGGTCTGGAAAAGGTTAACCCGGCTTCCAGGCGTCGTCCGAGTGTGCTTGGAAGGAAGGGCGGCGGGGAGAGCTGCGGCTTGTTTCGAGAAGGGGTGTTTCCAGGTGGAGAAGCCGGCTGAGCCACGCTGGGCTGTCCAGGGAGGGGGAGACTGCCTGTGCCCAGGAGAGGCGGCCGGCGCCCCTATCCGCTGCCTTCCCCAAGTTGGTTTTCTAGAGCAGCAGGTGCCAAGTCAGAAATCCTTCGCGGAATCCATTTTATCCTTATCTCTGAGGTGTAGACTTAAAGACTGGTAATTTGAGAACTGGGATGCAACAAAACAAACAAAAAACAAAACACGATGCTGTTCCAAATACCGTGAGCTCTGACAGGGAGCCCTGAACAGAATGATCCACCCTTGAAACTGGTGATAGTCTAGTATTCCAGACTCCTACATGCCCAGGGAGTACTATGCAGGGGTTCAGGAAAGGGATTTCCCAGAACCTAAGCCAGAAAGTGATTCTAAGATTTGCAACATCAGTCCCTTTAGTAACCTCCCAGGAAATATTTTTTTAAAGCCACTGAATGAACGGCTTCTGAGTTGTACAAGAAGGAAACTTGTTGCATAGAGTGAAAAGTGACAGCAACTGCCAAGGCCACTTCCCCTGGCCCACTGAATGAGAGTCTCCATTCCTTCCTGTGCTGGAGAGAAAGGCAGTGAGAGGAGGGATGGATGCCCAGCCAGGTCTCTTTTTTTTCAAGTCTGGAGAAGAGGGATCTGATCTGTGCCCCAGGCAGAACATCACTGATTAGACTGGGAGGAATTACCAGCTAACAACTTCAGGCTCGCTGTCTCAAGTGTATCTCACAGGAACCACTGTTCCTGTGTTTCCCACAAGGGCACCAGGCGGACGTAATGGAATAGTTTGCCTCCACTGGCCCAACCCATGCCTTCTCTCCCCTGGGCACAGGAAGCATATACAGAATACCTGAGGAGCATCCACTACATCGCCCAGGTACTGCTGGAAGAAGTGGAAACCACCAAAGGTACAGTTCTCAGCCTCGCTGCTCCTTCCGCACTGGGCAAACGGTGGACAACTTAGCCGGTGGTGGGTCCCTGGGGGTGTCCTGTGTCCTACCCACTTGGTCATTAGCGGAAGGTGAACGGGTGTGCACTCAATAAGCACAAGCTGTCGCACTGTGACGCGGGAGTGGGAAGGGATGGGTGCTGTGGGGAAGGGATGAGTGCTGTGGGGAAGGGGATGGGAAGGTGGTGGAGGCATGACCAGAGACTGGACATTGAACCCCAGCCCAGGAAGAGTACGGGGGTAGCATTCCCAGCAGAGAGATGTGCAAAGGCCCTGAGATGAGAGTGGGTGCTGGGTACCAGGAAGGCAGGCTGGAAAGAGGAGGGTGCAGTTGGGGCAGGCAGGGCCTTGGGTGGAACTGGGGTCGTTCTGGTGTGAGGGGAATCTCGTGGAGGCTTGTGAGGGGAGACCAGCATGGAAGCAGACCCTCCAGGAGGTGCCCACAATGAGGTCAGCAGTGGTGGGACCACCTAGAGGTGGGAGGAATGAAGGACTTGGGGATATTCTTTAAAGGTAGACCTCACCATGCTTGCAGGCAGGGCAGGGGGTCGAGCCACTGGGGGGGACAATGAGCTGCTGGGGGAATGGTGAGGCACGGGGCAGGTTGCACAGGGGTGGCAGGAGCAGACTTGTGGGGGAGGAATGGAGAGCTGCGTCCTGAGCACATTCTGCTTGAGGTGTCCAGCAGCCCACTGAACACAGAAGCACAGCAGTCAGGGAGAGGCGGGAGTCACCAGAATGGAGCTGCCCTAGGGAGCCAGTGACTTAGCAGGGCTCTGGCCACTCCGAGATTGAGGACTGGGAGGGGGGTGCAGTGGGAGTGTCCTTGAGAGGGATGTCCTGGAGGAGAGAGGACCTGAGAGGTGGGGGAGCCCTCAGAGCAGGGCAAAACGTGGCTGGGTGAATGAGGGCAGTTTCAGTGGGAGTCAGGGGCTAAAACAGGGTGTGGGGAGGGGCCAGCTGTACAGGGAGCAGGAGGTGGGTCAGGAGCGGGGGCTGGCAGGGTCCAGAGGAGAGTTTTGGGTGCCAGCTCCTACAGCATGTCTGCTGGTAGGAGCAGTCCCCAGAGGAGGGAATGCAGAACAGAAGCTACAGGGAGGCGCCAGGGGTGGGGTTGAGCACAGCCAGAGGGCGGGAGATGGGTGATGAAGCCGTCTCTGTGAAATGGCCTGTGTCTTGAGGAGAGGCTCTAGGTGTAAATGAAGCCCTCAGTGAGGAGAAAAGGCCTGGTTAGGTAGAGAGACGGCTCCAAAGGTCCAGCTGAGAAGACAGGACAATCAGTCAGATGCTGGGCTGGCCGAACTCGGAGTCCACACAGGGTCAGGAAGTAAACCTGGGGCAGATGGTCAGAGACTAGGAGGGAGTGGGGTCACCCAGGCGTCAGAGGTGAGGAGGAGATGGGCTTGCCTCTGTTGTCATCTCAGCAAGAATCTGATTAGTGATGAGAGATGATGGTGACCAGCCTTCTTATCCCTTGCTCCCCAGAAGCTGGGGAAACTGTGTCCCCGGACACCTCGAAGATGCTGAAACTGGCTGAGCAGTGCCTGGAGAGGGCCCACTCAACAGCTGCCAAGCTTGGTGGGTCTGCAGCAGAAGGTTTTCCTGGAGCACCCCTCAAGTCTGCATCTCCTCTATGGAATGTGGGGATCCCATGATGACCCTTGGCTACATATGTCTTGCAGGGAAAACACGCCTGAAGCCAGCCATGCCTGTGGCTGCTCCTGTCCCCTCACCTACCACCCGACATCGCCGGGTGTACTCAGATGAGGGGGGGAAGCTCTCTCCATTTCTGCCGCCTGAGATCTTCCAGAAGCTTCAGGTGGTAGAGTCGCAAAGCTCTAAGAAGTAAGATGGGGCAAAATAGAAGGTGGGCTGAGCCAGGGTTTGAAGGCAAGACAAAGTGAGCTAACCATGTGAATTTAGTTGAAAGGGGTCCCAGAGTGGAAACACCCTTGTGCTGACAGAAATGAATGCAAATTGTCTTTGGAGCAGAGCAGCTTCAACTTTCATAAAATGAATGGCAAACAGAGATAACCAAGCACAAGAAGGAACAAGAAACCTTGAAGGGATGATAGCAAAAACAGACCTGCAAAGTCTTCAGACAGTTATCAGACACAGATTATAAGACAATCATGCTCTTTTATCTTTAGAAAAATAAAAAGAAAGTTTGAAAATACCTGCAGGGAACAAGAAACTATAAAATCTACCCAGCAAACAAAGAACCAAGTAGAAGCAAAATGAAAAATATACCGAAATTATTTTTAAATACTAATTAGAAACAATAACAACAAATTATTTGTCCAGTAAAATCCACACATGCACACAAAAACAAGTGGACAAGTTTACAACAGCAGAATAGACATAGCTGAAGAGAGAATTAGTGAATTGGACAAAAGGCCAAAAGATATCCAGAATGACTCCCAGAAAAAAATAAGACAAAAAATATGAAAAAGAGATGGAAGGTCTAACATAAGATTATTGGAGTTCCAGAAAAAAGAGGAAAAAGAAAATGGAAGAGAGGCATTATTTGAAAATATAACAGCAGGCAATTTTCTAGAACTGATGAAAGATAGCAAGACATAGATGCAAGAATCCCAAGTAGGATAAACAAGGAGGACTGGCTCCTCCTGGCGCTGCTGCTGCCAGGAGGCAGAAACAACATGAAACTCTTTGTAGCCGCTGAGTAGCCACTGCTACTCAGGAGGTTCCAGGCACCTCATTTCTGCGCATGCAGCTTTGGGGTAGGGCCAGGCACAAGACTTCCATCCTGGGATAAACTTTCCCTCCTCAGTCTTATGTCCCCCACAGCTTACTCTCTCCCACCCATGAAAGCAGGAAGACGGGGAACCAAAGAGTTTGGTGATGGGATGGTTGTTGGTAACTGTTATGGAGTAGACATGGTTCTACCTTTCCTGCGCTGCAAACTAATCTAGCTGTTTGGCCCACATGGTGCCTTGAAAGAGTTTCATGTTGTTTCTAGCACTATAACTAATTTGCATAAAGGTCTATGTCCAGCTTTTCTTGACAAGTCAGAAGTCCTGGCAATAGCAAGGCCACATTTCAGTAGGGCAGGTGTCTTCAGTCCACTCCAGATCTCCTCCTCCTTTTACATTCCTGCCTGCCTCATCACCACCTCCTCACCTTCTGGTCTCCAGGGCAGGGACAGGGAGGGTCCTCAAGTCACCAGAGCATTCCTGGGCTTCCTGGGGCCTAGACAGCAGCTTGTCACCATTTCCAGAGAGCTGACACCCCTGGAGGAGGCCTCCCTGCAGAACCAGAAATTGAAGGCTGCATATGAGGCTCGGATGGCCCGTCTGGACCCCAGCCAGGCCCTGCAGAAGACATCCCTGGTGAGCTGGGCCCAGGGAGGGTCTGGGGCGGTGGGAGAGGGGAAGTAGGCCTTATTCCTTCCATTCCTTCCTAGACCCTATCTCTGCAGCGGCAGATGATGGAGAACCTGGTGATTGCCAAAGCCCGGGAGGAGACAGTATCCTTTCCATCCATCCTTGCTGTCTCGAGGGGGAAGTGCAGTGTGACTTTGATTGAGGTTTGGGGTGCGGGAACAGAATTCTTCTGGCTTTGGAAAGGCATGCCCTCAAGGGATAGTTCCTGCCCAGCCCCCCTTCCTCTCACCCTCCGGGCCTTCGCACAGGCGGTCCTGCCTCTCCTAGCGCCCATGGGCTCCTCTCCATCCTTGGAGTTGGCTAGGACTTGCCTTCCCTCCCTGAGTGGGCATCTGTCCTCTGGCCTTTGCGTCTCCTCCGGCCCGCCCCACTGGACCGTACCTCCTGGGCCTTGTGTCTGGCACGGTATGGGGGCCACCCACATCACACATGGCCTTGACTCTCCGCCCCAGCTGCAGAGGAAGATGGAGGAGCGCCGGCTTCGACTCCAGGAGGCCGCCAACAGGTGTGTCTCCTCCCGTTGCTCTTGGGCAGCTGGGGGGACAGATGGGGGTTCCCGCACCGGCCCCTCCAGCCCTGAGGCTGCCAGCCCCACGCTTCATTCCCAGGAGGTTCTGCAGTCAGGTTGCCCTGACCCCGGAGGAGCGGGAGCAGCGGGCCCTTTATGCCGCCATCCTTGAGTACGAGCAGGACCACGTGAGTCCCTTGGGGGTGGGGGTGGGGCAAGGGTCATGTGTTGAGGCTCCTGGCGGCAGGATGGGGGTCCGGCAGCCTGACAGCGGGGGTCTTCTTCCCTGCACTCCAGGAAGGGCCTGGGCAAAGGCGCTAGTCCCCTGGGGCACAGTGTTGGTGGGGGAGGAGGGGCATCCCATCGTGGGTCCTGCCATGCTCCCCAAAGTCTCCTGTCCTGCAGGACTGGCCAAAGCACTGGAGGGCCAAGCTCAAGAGGAGCCCAGGGGACCTGTCGTTGGTGACCAGCCTGGTCTCCCACCTGCTCAGGTACCAGGGCCTGCAGCCCCTCCCCCAAGGACTAGACAGGGAGAAGACAGGCGAGTGAGGGTCCCGCAGAGGCCCTGGGTGGCCACCCCCATGGCACCGAGGCTCATTGGCTGGCCTTCTTCTGCCATCTCAGAGGGGTGGGTCAGACTTTCTTTGCAACCTTCACCCTCAAGGAAATAACATGTGAGCCACTTCTCTACAGTCTCTGACGGCGGGGCCGCTGTGTAGACGGGCGGCTGCCGGGAGAGGCCAGAGGCGGCCAGGGGCTATGCCCTCGATGCTGCCTCTCCCCTGCTCGCAGCATCCCGGACCACCCCATCTCGAAGCTCCTGAAGAAGCTCCAGTGCGCTGTGTACCGCGCGCTGTACCCGGTGGTGAGCCAGGCCGCCGTGGGCGCTGCCTTGGCCCCGGGCTGCTGCACCCTGCCTGCGGACACCGACGGGCTGCTGGCCCCTGGAAGCCGGCGGCTTCGGCCTTCGCAGAGCCTCTACTGCATGCTCTCCCCGCCAGAGCCAGGCCCGGCCCCGCGGCCCCCTGACAGCACCCCCGCCAGTCCTCCCACGCCCCCGCCCCACCCTGGCCCCCCCGACAGAGGGGCGGACAGCACCCCTGCAGGGCTGCCCTCACCCCTGGCAGACATCTCATCCCACCTGCCATGCAAGGACAGCTCCTTCGAAGACCTGGAACAGTTTCTGGCTACTTCTGAGAGGTGGGGCCAGGGCCCTGGGGGGTGGCCAGAGCCCCAGACCCCCGGGGTGAAGGAGCCATTGCTGGAGCAGCTGAAGAGCACTGTGAAGGACATCCACGAAGCCGTTGGTGAGGGCCAGCACCCCGCAGGACAGGCAGGCGGGTGGGGGAAGCTGCTCCGACTCTGAAGCCCACTGCCAGCAAAAAGCTTGTCATAGGCGGGAGACAGGCCTGGGAGGAGGGGCTTCCTCTGCCTGGCAGTGGGGCCAGCCCTGATCTACAGAGCCTGCTCCATCTCCCCTCCCTGCCGGCCAAACACCCAGCTTAGCAGAGGGAGGTGCCTGCCTCAGAGAGCTGCTGGGGCTGGCTGTGGGCCCAGGTTGCTCTGAGTCACTGGCTGTCTTCTCACTGGGCTGCACTGGGAGGCACAGCCCGGTCCATTCCAGTCTTCTGTTTGGGGAAGGGTCTGTCCTCAGATCCTCTGGCAGCCAGGTAGTCCCGGCTGTTCCATCCAGTCCAACTCATGTCTCTGCAAACCAAGGACTGTTGGAGGTGTGCAGCCTGGTGGTGACAGTGGGCTCCTCCCTTAGCCTTTTCTGTTTTGAGAGTAGTATGTGGGTTCCCTAAGGGTTGGGACCCAGGGCAGTGGGTGACTTCCAAGTCTTTTTGAAGGAGGAAGGCCTCGGTGGTTTTCTGAGAACCAGAGAGGGAGGCCTAACAGTCAGGGACCTTCTACTCACTGTGGGGCCCCACTCTCTGAGGCTCCCCCTCCTCCCCAAGTGGGTCTCCCCTTCTTCTGGCGCAGGTCCGCCGTCCTCCCCAAGCAGGTCCTCTGTCTCCTGGGCCTCATATTTATTGTCTTGGTATATGCTTTTAAAATCTTTCCAGGTTCTCACAGTTTTGGGTAGAAACCTTTTTCAGAAAGACAGTGTTTTCTGCCTTCTTGCCCAGGCCTGTCTTCTTGGCCCCTCAGGGGAGCTGTGCATGACCCTCTGAGCCCCCAGGGATGAGGGCCCAGATTTCCTGCTCCGATCCCAGGCCACATGGACATATAGGAGGGGGTGGTTTGAAGGGGAGTGGAGGGAGGGTCAGGCCAAGCCCCCTCCCCACTGAGCTAGGACATTAACGGTGACTGCCCACACTGAGCTGGCTCTGGGAAGGAGAGGGGCCCATCTGGGAACCCAAAGCTGGCTGGGGGTGACCTGCAGGGGCTGCCAGCCAAGCTGGATGGCCCAGCTGTCCCCACAGCGCCGCTGTGCCTGCTCTGCTCCCGGCAGACAGGCTACTCTCGCTGACGCTCCTGGCTTTTGAAGGCCTGAACATGGCCGCCTCCAAGGACCGCTGCCTGGCCTGCATCGAGGAGTCCTTCTTCTCCCCGCTGTGGCCCCTGCTGCTGACCTTCTACAGGTACAGCCCTAGCGCCAGTCCACTGCAGGGCCTTTCCCACCGGCTGGAGTGTGAGGCCCCTTCTTGAGTCTTGGGGCAAACTTCTGACTGTGCTTCCAGCTGGCACTTTACTCTGAGGCCTGGGTGTTTCAGGTTTGCAGGTCGCCCACCCACCCTCCTGTGACTTGGGGCACGGCCAGCTTTCCTTAGCCCTGCCTCTATCCTGGGTCAGGGTCCCCTGAGCAGCTGAGCCTGGCCTCTCTCTGCCCCAGGAGTGTGCACCGCCCCCGGGAGGCTGCCCTGAGCAGGAGCATGGAGCTCTACAGGAATGCGCCCCCAGCAGCCGTAGGCATCCCCGCCAAGCTCCTCCCTCGGGACCCTGAGGCCATGGGAGCTGGTGCCTACCCCTACTGCACAGCAGCCCAGGAGCTGGGTCTGCTGGTTCTGGAGAGCTGCCCCCAGAAGAAGCTGGAATGCGTTGGTTAGTGGGGGGTGGTTTGGGAAGAGGGAAAGGGGAACATAGTCGGATATGACAGAGCCCCATCCCAGAGGGTGACCTGGAGCCTGTGTCTTGCACCTCTGAGCTGCAGAACCTCCTCTTCTCAGATGAGGGTGTGTCCCATGGGACATCAGTGGTGTGAGAGCGATATCCATGGGAGGGATTGTCCTGGCTCTGCCCAGCACGTGCTGCACATGAGGGGCGAGGGAGCAGTGCTGGCCTCCAGGCCATCCTGGACAGGCTTCTCCTGCCTCTCACCCAAAGCCTCGCTTCTGTGCTGCAGTGAGGGCCCTGCGGGTCATCTGTGCCTGTGCAGAGGATTACTACCGGGCCCAGGAGGCTGGACTCCAGGCTGGACCCCAGCCCGGCGCCACTGTCATGTGAGTCCCGGGAGCGCACGTCCTAGGGTAGGCACTGGGTGCGTGAGGGGTTGCCTTCAGAGGCCTGGCGGAAGGGACAACCCTCTCACCCTGCTTGGGGCACCAAGACCATGGGTTTCTGCCCAGCGTCTGGCCCACTTGGGCCCTAGCAGTCCTGTTCCTCCATAACCTTTGTAGAGCTCATCATCGAGGGGAGTAGAGCCCACTTCCACCAAGAATCCCAGCTCCAGCCACTGCGGACGAAGCATTTCTGCTCCTCTGGGCAGGGCTTCTTAGGGGTCAGGGACCCCCTGGCTAGTCTGGTGAAAAGCAGGGTTGTCGTCCCAGAAGCATGTGCTTGGCCCCTGAGTGGCACATCTGGGGAAAGCTGTCCCGGCCCCAGTGAAGAGCTTGCTCCCTGCACTGAGCCCCCAGCTCTGGGGTTCCTACATTGGCCCTGCCCGCCCTCCCGAGATGGGGCGGGGGTCTTCCCCACCTGGGACCTGCAGCCCGGGGCTCTGATGCCTGGTCCTGCCTCAGTCTCACTTGGATCCGCCTGTGGCCAGCAGCCTCCTGCCTTGGTGCCCAACTGGGGCTGGCGTCCCCTAAGCACCTGTAGGGGCTCTGCCTCCAGCCACCTTGCTGCAGGGATCAGGGTCATCCTGAAGGCACCTGTCATTGCAGCCTGTTGGGCAGGCTGTGGCCCCCGCCTACACCCAGGGGCCTGCAGGTGATGGGCAGATAAAAGTCAGAGCTGAGGTGAGGGGGCCGGCCCCGTGGCTTAGCAGTTAAGTGCGTGCACTCCGCTACTGGCGGCCCGGGTTCGGATCCCGGGCGCGCACCGACGCATCGCTTCTCCGGTCATGCTGAGGCTGCGTACCACATACAGCAACTAGAAGGATGTGCAACTATGACATACAACTATCTACTGGGGCTTTCGGGGAAAAAAAAAGGAGGAGGATTGGCAATAGATATTAGCTCAGAGCTGGTCTTCCTCAGCAAAAAGAGGAGGATTAGCAAGGATGTGAGCTCAGGGCTGATCTTCCTCACAAAAATAAACAAAAAAAAAAACAGAGCTGAGGTGAGGTCAGCAGGGAGAGGTTCCACCCAAGAGGAGGGAGACAGATGCTCCCTCTATCCCCCAGCCCCCAGGGCCAGGGTGCTGGGCCTTTGCCGCAGGGTCAGGCCACAGGCCCAGCATGGTTCCCACTGGGCCCCTTCACGGGTTTGCCTTTTGGTTCCCGAGTAAGTACTGCAGGTAAAAGAGTTCCAGGACTGAAATTGTGTCCGAGTCCCAACCACAGCTTCACAGTAGCTCCCTCCTTTGGGCATCTGAGCAGCCAGTGAGGGACTGTGTTCCCACAGGTGTGCGGTGTCCAGGGAGGTGAGGGCAGGGCCTCCCCAGTTGTCAGACTCAAGCCACAATCTTTGCCCCTGTGCTGTTGCCAGAGTCCACTGGCCCATGGGGCCCTTGGGCCAGGGTTCTGAGCATCCTGTGTGGCCTCACTCGCTCCCTTCTCAGCTTATTTAGAGGTCTCTTTTGGAGGACTTGGGGTGCCTGATGTTCTGAGCTGAGTAACACTCAGTCCCAAGAGTGAGCAGGCTGCCTGGGACATGGGTCGTCCCCTCCATCACACTGCCCCCAGGCTCAGGCAGCTCATGGGGCAAGCTTGTGAGGTTGCAGCTGCCCCCACTCCTCCACCGTGGAGCCTCCCTGAGTTCAGCCCTGGGGTCTACAGTACAGGGTCCCTGTTTGGGGATGGCCTCACTGCTCCTTGGTGGTCTGTGCTGCTGACCAGAGTCCACCCCTGGCCCCCCATGCAGACGGGCGGGACGGGTGCAGAGAGATCAGCCACGAGCCCAAGACTCCAGGGGTCAAGCTAGGGGTCTGCGAGCTTGTGGGGATTGGGCAGCCCCACTGGCCTCTGGAGCCAACCAGCCGGCCGTGCCTTTGCCCAACAGTGGTGCCGATGACCTGCTGCCCATTCTGTCTTTCGTGGTGCTGAGAAGCGGCCTCCCGCAGCTGGTGTCGGAGTGTGCAGCCCTGGAGGAGTTCATTCACGAGGGGTAGGAGCCTCCGGGCCAGGGTTGGGCCAGCACTGGGGGCTAGGCACAGGCTCCCAAGTTAGGGGTCCACCTGTGCACACAGCACATGGTCCCCTCTCCCCAGCCCCTTCCCACCGCCCCTCACTCGGCTTACTGCCTAAACAGGAACGAGGGGCTGTCCCCTGAGCAGCGTCTACCTGGGAGGTGGGCTGTTCCTCCGGCCCAGCTCCGTGTGGGACCTCAGCGTCCAGGTCCTGCCCCGTGAAGGCAGATGCCCCTTCCAGAGCACCCCTCCAGGTGACAGGTGTCCCCCGTGCCCACCTCCACGCAGGTACCTGATTGGAGAGGAGGGCTACTGCCTGACGTCACTGCAGAGTGCCTTGAGCTTCGTGGAGCTGCTGCCCCGGGGGGCTCTGGGCAAGTAGTGGAGGAGGACCCTCCAGGAGTCACCAGCACTGGGGGCAGCGGGCCAGCTCTTGTGGGGCTCTGCAGCTCTCAAGCCCACCCTAACCCAGCATCTGCCCCCAGGGGCTCAAAGAGGCCCCTCTGCTCCTGACAGGATGGCGCTGAGCTGAGTCAGCTCCCAGGAACCGGGCCCTTTTCTCCCCTGACCCAGTCTCTGAGAGGCCCCGTGCAGGGACACTGGAGCTGTGGACTCCCCTGGACATGCTCACCCCTGATGTCTCAGCCCACTGACGCCCCGCGGGCCCCGCCAACCCCAGGGCAGAGAAGAGCCGTGGGCCTGGCTGAGGACGGGTCTAGCTTCTCTCCCTTCCTGTCCCCTGAGAAGGCAGTCAGAACTCCCTGAGCCAGTCTCCTGTCAGAGTCAGGAAGAGAGCCTGTCATCACCCCCGCCCCGCGGCCTGGGGCCCAAGTGGTTTGAGACTGTGCTGTTTATTTATTGGGCATTGACCACTCCACTCTCCCCTGGAGGCCCAGGTGTCCCTGGGGCACCCACACATCCCTGGGGTCTCAGAGCCATCCTACCCTTGGCAATGGGCGTTAGACATCCCAAGACCCCTGGCCAGTTCCCACCTCCACACATCTCCTTCCAGGTGGGTGTGAGCCCAAGGGTCAGCGCCTGCCAGCAGCCCACTATCCGTTATGTTACATGCCCCTGGACCGCCATTGACCCGGCCAAAAATAAAGAGGTCATTGATGTATCACTCCGCGTAGCTGGCTTGCTCCCCAGCCCACTGGCCGGGCGGAGGCCAGGCAGCACAGCCAACCCCTCTGCTGATCAGGAAGAGCCAGGCTGTCCCAGAGACTACTGAGGCCCACCACCAAACCAAGCCCTCCCCCACAGATCCTCTCTGCAGAAAGGGGATCCCCCTGGGGCTGCACCCTCTAGGACAAGACACACTGCAGGGCCTAGTGGGGTGGGCAGGGCCAGGGTCAGAGGTCGTCACTGGGCACTTGAGCCTGGAGTACTTGGTCTGAGGGCTTTGAGGAATCCTTTCCATTCTACAGCTGGGGAACATGCAGGTGCCCTGAGTGGTGGTACATGGGACCCCTGGAGAGGGAAAGGCGGCCCAGCCCCAGCCGTGGCACCATCCGCCTGGGAAGGAGGGACCCCCAGCAACCTGGGTCACCACAGAGGCAGGCGGCTTGGGCCCAGCCACACCAGAGGCTGGTTGTGGGAGCAGTGTTTGAGGTCCTCGGAGAAAGGCTCTTACAGAACAGCCACAGTTGGTGTTTACTGGGCACTGTGCCAGGCGGTGTACCAAGCCGATTTACCCCTCACAAGAACCCCGTGAGGAAACTGAGGCACAGGAGGTGAAGTGCCTTCTTCAGGCCACATCTTATGGTGATGCAGCTGGGTCTGAGCCCATCAGGCCAACTCCAGAGGTCAGTGGGTATCTGAGGCCGTGACCCCAAGGGCAGGCGCTAGGCCCAGTGGGCTGGGGCAGCTGTCCTATCAGGAGCCTTTGTGGGCTGGGCTCCCCTGCCCAGCAGCGCCCACCCACTCACCTGCCCTGCCCTTGAAGCTCTGAGTCCCTGCATCCAACCCCACCCCTGTCTCCTCATCCTGCCCTCTCCAGAGGAAGCCCTCTGGCCCTGTCCTCAGCCCCCCTGGCATTCTGCTTGTGCTTTTGTGAGCATGGAGTTCTGAGTTCCCCAGACCTGGTGTGAATCCTAGCTAGCCCAGAGCCTGGGGAGGAGGGGGATGTCCCTGCTCCAGGCCTGACATTGACGGCTAGAGGATGGGATTTTAAAGCCCCCTTTCGTAGAGCTTGTGGAGGATGAAGTGTGTCTGAAGCTAAGTCTGATAGTGGGAGCGCCTGTTCGCTCTGCACGGGGGGCCACACCGCGGGCTGAGCTGTCTCCTTGGCACCCTGCTCAAGACACTGAGATCAGACAGGCTTGTGCTCAGGCTGCTTCCGGCTGTGTGGCTTTGGGCCAGTTCTTTAGCCTCTCTGAGCCTGTGTCTCCCCCATACAACAGGGATGAATAATTGATTCTTCACATTGGAAATCCTGCAAGTCAACAAGAAAAAGGCAGGAGCCCCAATTAGAAAAATAGCAAAGGCTATGAACAAACTATCTACAGAAGAGGAAATTTAAAAAGCTAATCGGGGGGGCTGGCCCGGTGGTACAAGCAGTTAAGTGCGCACACTCCGCTGCACTGGCCCAGGGTTCACCGGTTCAGATCCCAGGCGCACACTGATGCACTGCTTGTCAAGCCATGCTGTGGCGGCGTCTCATATAAAGTGGAGGAAGATGGGCATGGATGTTAGCCCAGGGCCAGTCTTCCTCAGCAAAAAAGAGGAGGATTGGCAGATGTTAGCTCAGGGCCGATCTTCCTCACAAAAATAAAAAGCTAATCCACATAAGAAGAGGTGTTCAAAGTCACAAAAAAATCAAGAAATGCACATGAGAACAGTAACAAGATCAGACTTCATAGGCAATGGACTAGTGGAAACTAGAAAGCCAGACAATACAGAGCGTGGCAGTATGTGGTAGATGGGAACCACTTGCACAGTGTGGCGTGGACTGGGCAGTGGATTCAGACAGCCAGCTGCAGGCCTGGGCCAAGGTACACATCAATTGATCCTCTGACCTTGCGACTCTGCTTCTGGTTGTAGCCCCAAATGATAGAAGGACGTGTACACAGACAGAGTTGAGGCAATGTAGCATCCACCTCAGCAGATGGGAGAGGAGAATGTGGTAAAAGCACGTGCTCCCAGGTGTCTACTGCTGCATGACTGACCACCCCGACTCACTGGCTTAAACACACAGCAGTCATTCACTTTGCTCGAGGGTCTTCCATTTGGGCAGGTTCAATGGGAACAGCTTGTCTCTGACCCCCCAGCATCAGCTAGGTCAGCCTCCAGTTTTGGCTGACCCAATGTCCAGGGCTTGAAATCATCTGGAGATTTGTCCACAGGTCTGTGGTGGATGCGTGTCAGCCAGGACTTCAGTCGGGGCTGTCAGAACAACTGTGTGAGGCCTGCGTTAGTTTCCTGTGGCTGCTGTGACAGAATACCACAAACTGGATGGCTTAAAATAACAGAAATTTACAAAAGCAAAAAGAAATTTACTCTCTCAAAGTTATTTGAGAGCATGCCAGAACTTTGAAATCAAGGTGTCGATAGGGCTGTGCTCCCTCAAAGTGCTAGCGTAGAATCCTTTGCCTTCTGGTGGCTCCTGCAGTCCTTGGCTTGTAGCCACATCACTCTAGTCTCTGCCTCTGTCATCATGTGCCTTCTCCCCCATGTGTCTGTGTCTAAACTTCCCTCTTTTTTTTTTTTTTAATAATTTTATTTATTTCCCCCAAAGCCCCAGTAGATAGCTGTATGTCATAGCTGCACGTCCTTCTAGTTGCTGTATGTGGGACGCGGCCTCAGCCTGGCCGGAGAAGCAGTGAGTCGGTACATGCCCGGGATCCGAACCCGGGCCACCAGCAGCGGAGCGCGCGCGCTTAACCACTAAGCCATGGGGCCGGCCCATGAACTTCCCTCTTCTTATAAGGACACCAGTCATATTGGAGTTGGGCACATCCTAATCCAGTGTGACTTCATCTTAACTTGATTATACCTGCAAAGACCCTATTTCCAAATAAGCTCACCTTCCCAGGTTCTAGGTGGACAGGAATTTTGGGGGACATTGTTATAATCAGCCTAGTACAAGGCCTTTCCGTGTGGCTGCCAGCTTCCTCACAGTGTAGTGGCTAGGTTCCTAGAGTGAGCATCTCAAGACAACATGGCTTTTTTTTTTTCTTTTGCTGAGGAAGATTGTCCCTGAGCTAACATCCATTGCCAATCTTCCTCTTTTTGTTTTTCTATGTGAGCCACCACCATAGCATGGCTGCTAACAGATGAGCGATGTAGGTCCATACCGGGAACCGAACCCAGTCCGCCAAAGTGGAGCATGCTCAACTTAACTACTAGGCCGCTGGGGCTGGCCCAAGACAACAAGGCATTTTATGACAGGTGGAGGCAGGTGCAAAGACCTGCACAGGTTCAAGTGTCACACTGAGGAAGAGCCACACTCCCTGGAGCAGCACACAACAGTTAAGAGCAATTGCCTGGGGTCACACACAGCCACAGAGATGCATGTCAAACAGTGCTGAGTGCAGAAGCAAAGAAGCAAGAGTGAGGTGCAGAGCAGAACACGGTCCACACAGGGCTGAAAATGAACGTGCACCATCCTGTGAACTCTACTAGGATGTGTACGGAGGGTGCACATCCACCGCTTTAATGGAGGGGGCTGTGGTTGTGGCTGAAGGCCGTTTGACAAATCGGCAGAAGCGTTGCATCCATCCGAGATCACGATTAACTCAGTCATGAACTGCAGCGGGGTTTGCTCAGCCCTTTCGCGCAAGCAGAAGATGTGCTGGAGGTGTAAGAGGTTAACTGTCCCCTTAGGGTTGGCGTGGCCCAGGGTTGGGTTCAGTAAACCGCAAGAGAAGGACTTCCACATTCAGTGGTGGCCGGCAAGATGACGGGGAAATCCCGCTTGGCTCCGTGGAAATTAATAAAAGAAACCTTAATTAAACTGGATCAGGAAGGCCTGTAGTGGGAGGTGTCAGGTCCCATCACACATCGTCAAAGTCACCAAACCGGAAGAGACAGACTTGCATCTCAGACAGGAAGTATAACTAATGTACTACTGAAGGAAGATTTCTCTCTGGACCCAGCAACAGCCCACCCAAGGAGAAGTGCTGCAGCTCAGCCAATGAGAAGCTGTTGCCGCCCTGAACTGTTACTTCCCCCCAATGGACTTCCGTTTAGAACAGCCCTTCCCACTCCCCCTTTTCTCTATAAAAGCAGATCCCGCGTTTGTTTTCTGGATTTGTCTATGGTTCGCCATAGCAGGCACATCCGGAAGTGGAATTTTGTTGGCTATTCCGGAATAGCCCTGCCCCTCCAGGAGATGGCGCCGCATCACCCCCCCTCCCCCATCTGGCCAATCCCGTTAGGTAACACGGAGGGTCCCGCCTCTGCCAGATGGTAGGCCCGTCCCTCCAGGAGATGGCCCCGCCCTGTGCCCCGCCCCCCGCCCGGCGGCGCAGGGGAAGCCCGGCACCTGCTTCGCCGCGGCCTGGCGCTAGCAGGGCCCGGCTCAGGAGGTCACAGCGTGAGAGCCCGGTGCGGCCGCGCCCAGCCTCGGTGCCGCCTCGGTGGGAGGGGCTGCCGGGACACAACCGTTTATTGAGCGCCGTCTGTGTGCCTGCAGTCCTCGGCCCGGGGATCGGCAGTGAACGACCCCCGCCCCGTGGGGAGACGGCGACGCAGGGACAGGTGGCCGTACAGGTGCATCGCGCAGGTGCTCACCGGGGCATGACCGCCGTCGTCCTCCCGGCTGTCATCAGGCCCCGCCCCGCCCGGCCCACGGGAACGAGCTCGGCCAGGCCCCCGGCACGTCCGGCCCCAGTCAGCCGAGGGGGCGGTGCCCGAAGCAAGCCCCACCCCGAACGTCAGGGCCCCGGCCAATGCGCGGAGCCAGCTCCCGGCGGAAGCGCGGTCGTGGAGCAGAGGCAGGAGCCAAGCGGCGGGCGATTGGAGACCGCTGGGGACGAACAGGTATTGCGGTCGCCCGCATGGCCCACAGTAGGATCTGGTGGGCGAGGGGGTCTCTGGTTGGGATGAGGTGCTCAGCCGGCTGGGAGGAGCCCCAGGGAAGCGGGGTGCTGTGGATACTGAGGGCCGCTCAGCTAGCGAGGACAGGTCGCCCGCCTGGAGGAGGACCTGTGGATGCTGGGTGGGAGGCACACAAGCTGCCGGGGACAGGGTCGCCAGGCTGGAGGGGAGATTTGTGGATGCCGGGTGGGGGCTCCGGGGGCGCACAGCTGCCGACAGGGTTACCAGGTGGGAGGGCGACCTGTGGATACTGGATGGGGGCTCTGGGGGGCGCACAGCTGGCGGGGAGGGGTCTCTGATTCTTGACACCCTACCCCCGCCCGCAAGGATGGGCAGCAGCTCGCTGTCCGAGGACTACCGCCTGTGCCTGGAGCGCGAGCTTTGGCGCGGCCGCGCGGGTGTGTGCGGGGACCCGTCGTTGCGCGCCGTGCTTTGGCAGATCCTGGTGGAAGACTTCGACCTGCATGGGGCGCTGCAAAACGACGCTCTGGCGCTGCTCACTGACGGCCTGTGGGGCCGCGCTGACCTGGCCCCAGCCCTGCGCGGCCTGGCCCGCGCCTTTGAGCTGCTGGAGCTGGCCGCCGTGCACCTGTACCTGCTGCCCTGGAGGAAGGAGTTCACTACCATCAAGGTAGGGCGCCGGGCCGAGGGGGGGCTCCCCTGCCCGGGTTGCTGGGGGGCTTGCGACCCTCCAGAGAACAGCTTCCATCAAGGGATTTCAGACATCCTCAGAGCCTGGTGGGTTTCGCAGGGCTCAGAGCGTACTCAGGGGTCCTGGGTGTGTTGGGGCAGATCTCTGCCCGAGATCCCCAGCACTCCCAGGGCTGAGAACTTGGGGTGGGTGGAGGCCACCAGCCCTGGGTGCCTGCCTCCTGGGGGGTTTCTGCTCCTTAAAGCTTGTATCATTGCCCTCCCCAAAGTGGCCTCGCAGCCACAGAAATCCTAGGACAGGCCCACAGGAGGGGCTTGAGGTTCCATGGTCACCTTAATTTCTCCAGGATGTGGGCTGATCCCATTTATAAAGAACTTCGGGTGGGTGGATCCCCTATGAAGTAGGCAGCGGCTGTACACCTCTGCACGCCTGGGGTGGCTGGGCTGGGCAGGTACCTAGTTCACCCCTCAGCTCCGGTCCGGACATCTGCCCAGGGCTGGCCTGGCCCCTCTAGGTGAGCTGCCTGCCAGCAGGAGGGGCGCAGGCCGCTGGCGGTCTGAGCTAATTTAGAAGAGTGGGAAGGTGATGTCGTCACTGGACATGTGGGCAAGTCCGCCTCTGCCGGTTGCCATGACAGCAGCAGCCTGTCTGGGAAGGTGAGCTCTGGGGACACCTGCTGGTGCCAGGTTCCAGGACATCCATTCATCCTTTCAGACCAGAAGGCAAGAGGTACCCACCAGGGCCAGCCCATGGGGGGCCAAGAGCAGAACAGACAAGCCTGCCCTCGAGGTGCTCACAGCTTCAGTGTTGGGCACACCTGGATGGGGTCTGGTTCTGCCTCCTCCTGGCTGTGTGGCTGTGGGCAAGTTACCTAATCTCTCTGAACCCACTTCCTCCTCTGTGAAATGGACACAAGAATAGTCCAGGTCGTGGTTTGTTGTGAGGGGTGAATGCAAAGCCCTGAGGACGATGCTCGCACACAGTGCTCAATCCAAGGGAGATATTGTCATAAGCTGTAAGCAGAGGAATGCTCACAGGGTCCCAGAGTTATGGAGTTGTAGTTAGGAGAGACACTTGATCATCATACTAATAGTCCTTTTAATTCGGCTATTTCATCCATGTGGTGGAACGCTAGACAGCTGGAAAACATGAACAGCTAGGTCTGTCCTGATAGGGGAAACTAGTCCCTGGAAAAGCAGTGCGTTTAGGAGGCTCCCTGGTCAGAGGACATAAGCATCTCTATGGTGTTTGCACAACAAAGCACTCAGTCAGCACCTGATTTGAGCCGTGAAGCCCCAGGGGTGAGAGGAGGTGGAGGGAACTGGGGGACCCAGAGATTTCTCAGCATAGGGGCTCTGTATTTTGTCCTGATTTATGAGCCTGCCCCGGCCGATGAGATCAGTCTTCAGGAGTGGGCTCACCTGGAGGGAGTGTCGGCACAGCCCGGAACTGCCCCGTCACTTGGCGCCACGCTGCCATCTGGGGTGAGGGTGGTGGCCCCTGAAACTGGCTAAGGCCAGGGGGGAGCAGAGCCTGGGTCAGGTCTGTGGGAGGGCAGGCTGCTGCTGATCAGGCTCCTCCCCTGCAGACCTTCTCGGGGGGCTATGTGCACGTGCTGAAGGGCGCACTCTCGGAGGACCTCCTCATCCAGAGCTTCCAGAAGATGGGCTACGTGCGCAGGGACAACCACCTCCTCATGGTGGCCGCCCCACCTCCTGCCTGCCAGCTGGTGCAAGTAGCCCTGGGTTGCTTCGCCCTGCGGCTGGAATGCGAGATCCTGGGCGAGGTGCTGGAGCGGCTGGGCACCAGCGTGCTGCCGGCTGATGAGCTGCTGCAGGCACGGCGGGCCAGCGCGGACGTGGCCTCCTGCGTGGCCTGGCTGCAGCAGCGGCTGGCCCGGGAAGAGGAGCCGTCGCCCCTACCCCCACGGGGCTCCCCGGCACTGTACCGGCCCCAGCTGGACCTGTACCGGGACCTGCAAGAGGACGAGGGCTCGGAGGAGGCCAGCCTGTACAGTGGGCCCTCGTCAGGCCCAGACTCGCCCCCCTCAGAGCTGGCCTACCAGCCTCCACTTTGGGAGCAGAGCGCCAAACTGTGGGGTGCGGGGGGCAGGGTCTGGGAGCCGCCAGCAGAGGCTGAGGTGCCACAGCAGGCCAGCAGCCCATCCTACAGGGCCTTGGAAGAGGAGCTGGAACCGGAGCCCTCGGCCTTTTCCTTTCTCTTGCTGCGCCGAGAGCTGCTGAGTCGGCCCAGGGACCCCGCTGCTCCCAAAGCCCCCGGGAGCCCCAGACGGGCCAGCCCCCAGCATGAGCATGGGCCCATCCCCGAGACCCCCGGCTACCAGGCGCATAACTGCCTGGCCTCTGGCGTCCTGCCCATCCTCTGCTGTGACACGTGTCGCCAACTGCACGCTGCCCACTGTGCCGCCCTGCCCGCCTGCCGTCAGGGCCACGTGCGGCACATCCTGCTCAGCGACACCCAGCGGCACCTCTGGCTGCAGCGAGCACAGGTGGACACCCTGCTCTACGATAGCCCCGGGGCCCGGCCTTAGGCCCTGCCACGCCCTGGGTCAAGGGCTTTCTGGAGAGTTACTGTGGTGCTTCTCTGGGCCTTGTCCCTCCTCAGGCCTGGGCCACTGGCCACCTGCCCCTCCTACCCCACGAGGAGCCCAGCGCACAGCGGGAGGGGGTGTGGAGCATCCAGGCCCCACAGAGCAGGAGGTGGGGGTCTTGTAAGCTCCTGCCTGAGGCAGTCCCATCCCCGCCCTCAGAACTGACTCATGCCCAGATGTGCTGGGTGGAGGGATGTAGCAGCTGAGCCTGTCCCCCTAAAGGACCCTCACCCTTCTCTCTCACCCCCTCCCCCACCCCACCGTAGGGGCCCAGTGATTAGCCGGTAGCTCCGTTCCCTGCAGGTTGTGGTTCAGGACACGCTGCCTCCCTCCAAGGTTCCACAGGGACTCTCCACACAGGGGTGTCCTTGGGGGCCTACAGGTGACACTGTGAGCCCCTGAGCTCTGCTGGAATGAGTCTGGGGACTCGCCAGGTGCATGGCTAACTCAGCACCTCTCCGTGGGTGTCACAGGCCACAGTGAACAAGCTGAGTGCTGGTTTGTGACCTACCCCATGTGCCCCGGTCACAGCTGGGCAGGGAAGCTGGGTGTGCAGATGAAGTGATCTGATCTGAAACCCTAGTGAGGAGGTGCCCAAGAACTCTGGAGAACATGCAGCAAGAGGCGGGCGGCGGGCAGCCCGGACAGGCCTGCATGTCCCTGCACTTCCAGGTGGAGTGCGGGAACTTCTGAACAACCAGCACCCCAGTGGCCTCCCGGCTGCTGCTTCCTGCTGTGTTGGCTCTGGAAGGCAGGATGGGAGGTCTCGAAGGCTTCCCACCCAAGCCACCCCCTGGGTCCAGTGGTAAAGATGCAGCAAGCTCCACCCCCTGAGGCAGACTCCCAAGGCCAGGGAAGCAGGACAGCGGCAACCCCTTTTCCTTCGGAGCAGGGGATCCCGGGAATCACCAGCCCAGAGGACTGGAGGGGGTGGGTGCCTGTCTTCTGTGCTGGCCCCTCCTCACTGGGCACCCGCCCAGCCCATCTGTCCCACCTCCCAGCCTTCCCAGCACTGGGAAAACCCATCACATGAAGAATCAGAAGCTCAAAGTACATTAAAGACACTGAACCCGCTCGCCCGTTAGGAAAGCTTTTATCTCTCTGAGATCTGTTAGTGCCAACCCCACCCCTTCCCCTCGGGCCCCAGTATGGGGGCGGGGACGGGGCTCTGGTGGTCTCAGCGTGGTGACTGCCCAGAGCCCCATCCACCAGGCTGGCTCACCCACACCTGATCCTTCCTTCCCACTCTGAGTCTGGCCACGCCCACCCAGGGGTCACCATAGCTGCTCCCTGCCCCGGGCAGACTCTGGTGACCAAGAGCAGACACAAGCAGCCGTGCGGGGTCTGGTGGTCCCAAACTAGCAACACCTGCTGAGATGGGCCGGGGGCATTTCCTCCTGGGATGTGAAAGCCCAGCAACGGGCAGGACCCAGCACTGCCAGCAGGTGACACAGCCACTGCCCACGTAGGGCTGGCCTCAAGGTGTCCTGGCCCTTTGGGGTGCCCCATTCCCTCACCCCACATCCAGACCCACTCTTCTGGGGTGGAGGTGGCAGGAAGCGGTGCAGTCGGCTGGAGCAGCTGGTCGGTCCTAGCCAGGGACGTGCTGGATCCCAGGAGCCCCGTCAAGCTGGACTGCAGGGGCTTCACTGCCTGCTGAGGCCCCACAGTCAGGGCTTTCAGGGCTTGCAGCGCTTGCTCTGGCCTTCGGCGCCTGAGGCTGTGGCCCGCTTGTTGCGGTGGTGGGGGAAGGTGGGCATGAGCTCCGGCTCACAGGCTGCGGGGAGTGGGCTGCTCAGCGCTGCGTCGCGGGGAGGGCCTCCCAGGGGATGGGAAGAGCCCCAGGGTGGGGGGGCCTTCAGGTCTGAACCCTGCTCTGCATTCACAGTGCCCCCCCCCCCCCCCCCCCCCCCCTCTGACTCCGCAGACGGTTTGTGTGGCCACAGCGCCCCCACCAGGGCCTCAGCGCATGGCCCCGGCCTGCCCACACCCCACCCGGACGGGCCTTTGTGGGAGCCCACCACACCACACTGCAGGGTCTCTAGCAGCAACATGAGGCCAGGTCCCAACACACCTGCCCCAGACACACAGGGCCACAAGACGAGCACCCTGCAGACCGGAGCCTGAGGGGTCTAGGGGACTCACGTAGGGGCTTCTCCTTGAAGTAGGAGCTCTCCAGGCAGTCCCCAGCTGTCGCCCTGCAGGAAGCCCCCATTAATGGGACCCTGGGCCTCATTGAGGCTCGTTTCCCTCACACCTCACCCAGCCCAGCAGTCTCTGGCACAAATTTCCCAACAACTCAAAGGTGGGTGGCAAGTAAGGGTCTGTGGCCCAGAAACCCTTGGGAACCTCAGAGTGGGCTCTGTGACCTGGGGGGGCAGACCACCCAGACAGGACACCTGGCCTGCTGTGCATGTCTGGGGAGGGGGCATCTCGGTGGCAGGGTGGCCTGTGTTCTGAGAATCCTTTTATAAAGGGCCCTGCCCACAGGCCGAGTCAGCACCTTTTCTTGGGGTCGTACATGAAGAGGAAGTTGAGCAGGCGCAGGCCGGCGTCTGAGAGCCACGGGAACTTGTGCTTGAGATTGTTGTACGGCTGCTTCCTCAGGCTGTATTGGCTGACCAGCGGCAGCTTGGAGAAGCCCTGCGGGAGCAGGAGCTGAAGCCACAGGGGCTGGCCTGGCCAAAGGCAGGCGAGGGCAGAGGCCAAGTGCTCACCGGCCAGATGTTCTCACTGGGTGTCCCCAGCAGCTGCACGATCAGGTCCACCTGGTGGATCTCAGAAGTGCCGGGGAGAAGGGGCTTATGGGCCAGCAGCTCAGCCAGGATGCAGCCCACGGCCCTACAGGAGAGCAGGCCTTGCCTGATGTACCTGCTCACTCTGCCATACACCTCTGCTAAGCGACACTCCAGCGTGACCGCTGAGGGCATGTGCCACCCACACATCTCCAAGTGCTGGGGTCAGAGCCCAGGAGATGGTCACAATGGAATGGGCAAGCGACTGCTGGGATCCCCACCCGGGCCATGTCACCTGGTCCCAGCAGGCCTCTCTGGGTGAACACGAGGGCAGGGCCAGTCACTTCTGTGGACCTCAGGGCTAGGGGCCTGTGGACACTCTGTTCTCACACTTGCTCTCAGGATCCCAGGCTTGGGCCCACCCTCCTGGGAGCTGGGAGGCCAGATCCCAGCCCCACTCCTGTCCCTGTAGCTCTGAGAGTGACCGACGCTGGCCCTTCCCCGAGGCCCTGGGAGTGGCAACCACTTCTCACCACATGTCGATGCTGGTGGTTTGCGTGGTGGTTCCCAGCAGCAGTTCAGGGGCTCGGTACCTGCAAAGAGAAGACCCACCTCACATTGCGCAGCGCCTCCCCTCCAGCCTGGGCGTCCATGGGCACAGCGGCTCTGCACCAGCCCACCCACGAGCCACCAGCCTCCTTGAGATAGCCTGGACGACAGGACCGCTAACCCCAGCTTGGACCGCCCCGTCCTCTGAAGCTCTGCGGCCGCTGGATGGCTCCTAAATGCAGTGGTGTCCCGTGGGTTACAAAAACCTGGAATCCTTAGCACACATCTCCTGTCACCCGCTTTACAGACAGGGCTAAATGACACACGGCAGGAAGCACCTGACTTCAATGTCCTACCCTTAACCAGGACCCTGTCCTGCTTCTTAGAAACGTAAGTGACAAAGAAGACACAAAACTACATAAACCGTCCTCCTTCAGTTGTGAAGCTACCTCCCCTGCCTCCGGGCAGGGTGGCGCCCCATCCAATGAGGCAGGTTTTTCAGTGCCACCAACTCTGCCATTGTCCTTCCCGTGACAGCCCTGCTGTCTTGGGAAGCTGTCCTAGACCCAGCCTCTGAGTGTACGCAGCCCCCTACAGCTCAAAGACCCACGAGACGCTTTTGCAGCTTCAGCGTGGCCTCCCCAAACTCCCCTCCTCCGGGCACACCTGGTCCTGAGGCACTCACCAGAGAGTGACCACCTTGGGGGTCATTGGCTTCACTGGAATGCCGTAGGCCCGGGCCAGGCCAAAATCCGCTGTGACAGAGGCAGATATGGGAGGGAGAGTGTGTCACCTAGTGAGAGCTAATGAGCTGCTGCCCGGGGCCACGAAGACAAAGGAGCCAGCTCTTAGCCTTCAGGATGCTTATAAGATCTGACCTCCTCCAGAGGGACTGGGGGGTGGTGAGCGGGGGTACCTGGAGCACAGGGGGGCTGCTGGCCTGGTCTTGGGCAGGGAAGGCCCTGTGGAGGGTGACAGCCAAGCTGAGACAGAAAATCAGGCAGAGTCACCAGACGGGAGGGAGAGGAGAGACGGAGGGACTAACTGCACAGGGCAGGGGCGCTGAGGCCCAGAGAGTGGGGGGCAGGGGGAGATGAGCTGGAGAAGTAATGTCAAGACCAGCAGGGCCAGGCTGGAGCCCCAAGGTGGCACTCGTGGAAAGACCTCCTGCAGAGCCGGCACCCTGCACCCACCTGTCTTCACACAGCCCTTGTCGGTCATGAGCAAGTTGGAGACCTTCAGGTCCCTGTGACAGAGGGAGAAGGTCAGTGGTTCCCAGGAAGCAAGCTCCTGGGGTGATGGCTGTCATTCAGGACGTGTTCCCACGCGTCTCCTGTTTGAACTTTCTAACATGAGGAGAGCAGGCAGCCTAAGGCCTCTTGGAAGCTGGGAATGCCAGAGCTCTCAGTAACATTCGGAGAAAGCGGCAGAGCCGGGCCTCCAGCCCAGTCTAACTGCCAGTCATGCCTATTCCCTTGCACATGCTGCCCCAGGGTACAGACGCCACTGCCTGCACAGTCCTGCTCTGGCCCGGAAGGCCCCCACTCCGCCCCCTCCAGTCTTGGCCTTTCCTTGCATGTGTCACAAGCCTCCAGGAAGGCTCTCTCCACCGCAGGACTTCTCAAAGCCTTGACTACACTCATAGCATCGCCCCCAGGGAAAGCAGGTATTATTTGCTCCTGCACCCTTCCCCAAGCAGCAGTTAGAGAAGTCCGCTGCACTGAGGCTGTGTCTGCTCCTCTCTTGCATACTGGGCATTGATGTGCTGGCACTGGAAGCCAGGGATCAGTACTGGCAGTACCCCTCCCTGGTGTCACAAACCAGCACTCGCCTGGACAAACGACCCCGAGGCCCTGTCCCATCCAGGCGCCTCCTATCAGCCCAAGATCCTGCCCCTCTGACCTGCCCTCCCAGACCCTGCCCACCTATGGATGATGAAGTTCCGGTGCAGGTACTGGAGGCCCCGCAGCACCTGCAGCACAATGCACTTGACCTACGCAGAGGGCCAAGACAGGCCAGTTAGAGCCAGCTGTGTTTGGCACAAATGTGCTGGACAAGGACCCATGCAGGACCCCCTCCCAGGGCCCCCACCTCGCACCTGGGCCTCAGAGAAGGGTGTTGGCATGTTCTCCAGAAGGCTGGCCAGGTCTTGCTCACAGTAACCCATCACCAGGAAGATGCTGGAAAAAAAAAGAGAAAGACACACGTCACCTCCCACCTCCTCCTGGGTGGGCCAAGAGACCCTCCCGGGGCTGTAAGAAGGGCGACCATAATCTCCGGGGAACACAGGGAGGGGCAGGGTGGGCTTAGCAGGGCCTACTGCGGAGGGTCAGCAGACTGCTCACCTCTCCAGGTGGTTTCCCACAACCACCTCCTTCAGCTCCACGATATTTGGATGGCGAAGGCGAAGGAGCAGCGTGATCTCTCGAAGGCTGCTGATGGGGACCCCTGCAACCAGACACAGCCTCAGCGAGCCCCGGCCCTGCAGAAGGGGGCCCCTGCAACCGGACACAGCCTCAGCGAGCCCCAGCCCTGCAGACGGGGGCCCCTGCAACCGGACACAGCCTCAGCGAGCCCCACCCCGGCCCATGTCAGTCCTCAGTTACCCCCATCCCTAACTCTGTCAGGGCTCTGCCCGTCACCTCAGGAAGAATCAAGACCATCCCAATGCCACTTCCTTCATCAAGTGCAAGGCAGTAGCTCTCTGCACTGACCACTGTGTATGGCAGGGGGTCCACAGTGAGCAAGGCAGAGCCCTGCCCACATAGGCAGCCAGGGAAGGGCTGGGGGTGGTAAGCGGGGGGTGCATGGAGCACACAGGGGCTGCCAGCCCAATCTTGGGCCAGGAAGGCCCTGTGGAAGGGTGACAGCCAAGTTGAGAGAGACAATCAGGCAGAGTCACCAGGCAGGAGGAGCGGAGAGAGGAAGGACTAACTGCACAGGACTAGGGGCACTGAGGCCCAGAGTGACGGGGGGCGGGGGTGAGATGAGCTGGAGAAGTAAAGGCGAGACCAGCAGGGCCAGGCTGGAGGCCCGAGACCAGACCCCTTTAACCGTGATGCCGCCGCTCCTGGGAGGGCAGGCTCGCACTCTCAGTCCCAAGGAAGGCTTTCTACCCCCTCCCACTTTGAGCTCAAAGAGGTCCAGCATCCCCTTTCCACTCACCGTCCTTCTCCTTGTCCATCCGCACTTTCTTCAGGGCGACAATCTCATCCGTCTGGGTGTCCCGGGCCCGATCTGGAATGGAAATTCATCCATGACGGACTCCCGCCCCATTCCCCCTCATGTGTCCTCTTGCCACAGAGTGCCTCCTCCTGAACTCTGGGGGCTCCTTTTCTCTTCCTCAACAACTGGACACCCAGTGACAGTCCTCACTCTGTGCAAGCAACACCCCCAGCCCCACTAGACACGTGCTCCCGGGGGGAGGGTTCTCTCATTTGAGCTGGGTACAGGGTGCCCAGTTATAATAAGGTCCCTGTAAGTTTTCCTTCTTAGAGTCAATATGCAGATCACTGCTCTGTGTTCTGTTGTTACTAAGTTCTAACAGCAAATAAGGTACTTTATTTAGAAAAAAGAACACTTATTTTGGGGGGCAAAGATGGCTCCCCAAAGCACTGTGCTAATTTGCAGAGCTTCCAAACACTTAGCAGCATGATCCACACCAACGTCTCAGCAGCTACAAGCTGCAGCTCTGGCTGCTTCTGGAAGTGCTACATTTTATTGCTGTAACAGTTACCTCTGCTCACAGTTACATGTAAGCAATCTGAGATTGACATTTATTCGGACATGGTGTAAAATTCATGGTAATTACACCAGGGATTACAGTTCACTTGTACAAGTTTTTGCCCTGGCTGTGGAGCAAGGGCTGTTAGCCTCCTTCTAGCCCTAACGCAGCTACTGCTCGGACAGTCCCGTGGCCCAGGCCTCCCATCTCAGCCACTCACACACAATGCCGTAGGTGCCTTCCCCGATGCGGTTCAGCTTCTCAAACTCCTTCACACTCCGGCACCGTCCGAGCTGAAAGAGAGAGGGGCTGGCAGTGTGGGGACTTTTCAGATAAGAAAAGGGGAATGATGATACTGGGCCAGAGACTTTGAATTTTTTTTTTTTTTGGTGAGGAAGATTGTCCCTGAGCTAACATCTGTGCCAATCTTCCTCTATTTTGTATGTGGGACGCCACCACACATGGCTTGATAAGCAGTGCATAGATCTGCACCTGGGATCTGAACCATCGAACCCAGGGCCACTGAGGCAGAGCATGCGAACTTAACCGCTAGGCCACCAGGCCAGCCCCCAGAGACTTTGAATCTAGTATCAAAGACACCCCAACCACTCCCTTTAAATCCCATGGTCCTGACGTATGCTGTCTAAACATAGTAACCACCAGCCACATACAGTTACAACTAATTAAAATAAAACTAAAAGTTCAGGGGCCAACCCGGTGGCGCAAGCAGTTAAGTGCGCGCACTCTGCTTCGGCGGCCTGGGCACGCACTGATGCACCGCTTGGCAAGCCATGCTGTGGCGGCGTCCCATATAAAGTGGAGGAAGACAGGCATGGATGTTAGCCCGGGGCCAGACTTCCTCAGCAAAAAAAGAAGGATTGGCAGATGTTAGCTCAGGGCTGATCTTCCTCACAAAAAAATAAAAATAAAAATAAATAAATAAAAACAAAAGTTCATTTCCTCAGCTGGACTAGCCATGTGTGAAGTGCTCAACGGCCCCATGTGGCTCATGGCAACCATACTGGATGATCCATCATCACAGAAAGCCTGCTGAGCAGCACTGGTCTAAACCATGCTCTGGAGATGGAAAAAGCTTCAAGACCTTCACAAAGTATCTACCAAACACAGTGAAAATGCTTCTATGGCCAAGAGGAACTATCCCCAACATCCATACATGACTTCTTCCTTTGAGTTATGAAACACGGCACAGTGGCATGTGGCCACCCAGCTGGTGGTCTTATTTCCCAGCCTCCCTTGCAGCTAGGTATGACCATGCGACTGAATTCTGGCCAACGGGACATGAGCAAAATGGACAGCTGTGACTTCCTGACCAGGGGAAGCTGGTTGCTGCCCACTCCTTCTTACTCTTTGAGGCAGGCTGGGATTTGGAAGAGGTGCAGATGGAAAACCAGACAGACAACCTGAGTGCCTGGCACCTTCTGGAATGTTAGGGGAGAGAGAAATAAAGTCCTGTACTTAAACCACTGTATTTTGGGGTTTCTCTGTCCTCGCAGAGAGTCTGCTCCCTAATACACCTTCATAATGTGGTGGGTTCTTAGGTGGACTCAATGAGCACTTCTCCTTGGGTCTCAGAAGCACAAGCAGCAAGGTTCGAATTCTAACAGCTCCTCTCTGACCTTCCTGCCTCTATTCTCTTACCAACTCTGCCCTCCATCTCCATCCTCCCTAACCACCTGGGGAACCGAGTCAGAACCTTGTAGTCAGGATGGAAGCCGTTCCATGATCTCGCCTTAACTTCCCTTTCCCACCTACTCCCCCTTCTCACATTCTCTCTCTCCAGGCTGAACTCCTGTGCTTCCTTTCCTATTCACACTGTATTTCTCATCTCCATGACTTCGCTCCTGCTGCCCCTTAAGTCTGGCAAGCCACACCTCCTCACCTCCACATGTCCAAAACCTAGTCACACTTTCTGGCCCAGCAAAGACGCAACCCCTGGAGGCCAACCCCGTTGTGGCGTAGCGTTTGAGCTCCTGTGCTCTGCTGCTGGCACCCCAGTGTTCAGATCCTGGGCCACACCAACACACTGCTTACCATGCCATGCTATGGCAGTGTCCCACATAAAGTAGAGAAAGATGGGCACAGATGTCAGCTCAGGGCCAGTCTTCCTCAGCAAAAACAGGAGGATAGGCATGGATGTTAGCTCAGGGCTGATCTTCCTCTCAAAAAAAAAAAAATGCGACCCCATTCTACAAAGTTCTTCCTGGCTCCCAGCTGAAAACAATTTCTCCTCTGAAATCCTCTGATACTCTTATGTCTTGAAGCACCTGCTACCGCACTCCCTGCGCCGTCCTGGTCTGGCTGTCTTCACGCTCATGTGAGAGCACGGTGCCCTGAACACCGCCACCCCTGCGCGAAGACGCACAGCCACCAGTGGGCGGCTCTAGAGTGGCTCCTGGCGGTCACTCAGCCAGTCCGTTAGTGAGCCTCATCGGACACGTGACTGGGCCTCTGGAGCACCAGCAGGCAGTTAACACACCACCCGGTCGCCAGGATCAGACCCGCCCCGCACGAGCTGCCTGCGCCCCTCGGCTCTACCTACCGCCCCTCTACAACGTGGGCAGTAACGTGCCCAGAAAGGGTCGCCAGGGGACTGGGCGACAGTGACACGCAGAGCCCCGCACACAGCGAGGCACAGAGGCCGCGGGTCCCGGGTGGGGCCGCCCGGCCCACAGCCCGGGGAGACGACGCCTCCCACGCCCAGAGCCCGCCCTTCTGGAGTTGGCAGCGGCACGGAAGCCGGCCGACCCTACGCGCAGGCGCCGCACGCCCCGGGGGCCGCACTCCTCGCCGGGAAGGGAGCAGCCGCCGCCACCGCCTCCGGCTTCCGGGTCTGCCGCGAGGAACTCTGGGACTGTTGTTCCTCCCCGTGCCGGAAACTTCGGCGCTTCAGCGCAACACTGAGGGCCCCAGCGCGTTTCGGCCCCGCCCCCCGACGGCGAGGGCAGAGGTGCCCCGAGCGCCCCCCGTCGCACCCTGTGTTCCGGAGGCACCGTGAAGAAGCCTTCCTTACGGATACACTTCAGACGGATCTGCTCTGACTCCGGCTCCGGGTCCCCCATGCCGACCGCGACCCCCACTTCCCGTGTGCGCAGGCGCAGATGGGGTCCCTCGACGCATGCGCGCAGTGTACTTCCGGGGCGTCCGCTCCTTAGCAACAGTTACCAAGGTAACTTAGCGGCGACCGAGCGCCTCAGCCCCCAGGATCCCTCCGCTCCGGCCACCGAGGTTTGGACCTTATTTTAGTTTTAAGCACTGGCATCTGCGCCAGCTGGGGTGTTGGGTCACGGCAGCCGGAGGAGAAAGCAGAAGTCCGAGGGGCTGGGGGCGGGGTTCTTGGCGGGGCTGAGAGGGCCACGGCGTGTGGGGGTGCTGAAGGGGTCTGCGGCGCTGCTGGGCGCTCCTCCTTCGGGGAGGCGAGGCCGGGGTTAAAGGTCTCCCTGGAGCCGTGGAGGGAGGGGTTTGCATGGGGTGTTGGGATGGAGAGCCCAAAGGAAATGCCAGGGCTCGGGGACAGGCGAGGGACTTGCGGTGGGACCACAGGGTCACCCGCTACGTGCTCAGCCCTGCACACTCTGCCTTGTGGATCTCACGTCTGTGGGAGATCAAGATTTGGCTACCCTGAAATCTATCTCTTTACCTTGATTGTTTTCTCTGATGGACATTTGACCTCCCCCACTACCTGCCTAAAGAAGTTGACATAGTAACTCCTTCCTGGAACAGATCTTCGATCTGATGGCTGTAATATAATGTAAAATAGATGTTACAATAGGAAAGGCACCAACAAGCCCATCTTATCAGAAATTCTGTCTCTCTGGCCACATTCTCTGGATGGCCCTGAGAGGAGTTGCCAGACAAACATTTACATTTATAAGGGAAATCTCCATTTGTAAAGGTATCTCCCTCTCTGTATTTGGGAAGAGGGGGGATGACCTCATTTCTAGAAACTTATCAATGTGGAAAGTGAGGCCTTAAATCTGCATAATAACCTTACTCTTCTTTACTGTGCTTTAGTGGCAATCTCCTGTAACTGACTCCCCCCACCCCCAACATCCTCCTTTGTCATTGGCTGAACATGGTATTTAAGAAAAGAATTTCTGCTATTGTGTGGAGAAACGCAGTGTCCCTGCTTTCTCCCATGTATACATGTTATTAAACTTGGTATTATTTTCTCCTGCTAACTTGTCTTATTATTTGGCCAGCCAGAAGAACCTTAAGGGAAAGGGCAGAGGGGGATTCTCCCTCTTCCCCTACACGACCCAGCTGGAGGCAGGCACACGAGGTCAGACACAGAAGGTGAGAGTCATGCGCGCTAAGGGGGAAAATGAGGCAGGGCTGTGAAGGGGATGTGTCGGAGGGGTGCAGCTTTAAATAGGGTGCCAGGAAAGGCCTCCCATGAAGGGGACTGTAATGTAAATTCTAAAATAACATTAAGTTAAGGACATTTGATAATTATGAAATTTATCATAATTTAACGAGTTGAATTATTATTTTTTTATTTATAATTTTATTTATTTATTTATTTTTCCCCCAAAGCCCCAGTAGATAGTTGTATGTCATAGTTGCACATGCTTCTAGTTGCTGTATGTGGGACGCGGCCTCAGCATGGCCGGAGAAGTGGTGCGTCGGTGCACGCCCGGGATCCGAACCCTGGCCGCCAGCAGCGGAGCGCGTGCACTTAACCGCTAAGCCACGGGGCCAGCCCTTGAATTATTTGTTTTAATTTAAATAATTATCATATTCAGTTCATCCTAGTCCTTTTTTAATTCATTCATAAGCTAAAGTCATAAGCCAATAATGAGATTAGAATTAGTGCCATGGTAAGTATAATTTTTAGATTTTTTGTTTGAGATGCTCAGGGCAGGGGTAGGAGGAGAGCAATTTCTAGGTCAAATAATAGAAATGTAATGGCTACTAGAAATTTTATGGAAAAGGATAGGCGTGCTGACCTTATGGGGTCAGATCCACATTTGTATGGGCTTGATTTTTCTGTATAAATATTTAGTTGTGGCAGTCAGAATGCATTAATAAATGTATTGAATAAATACAAGTAATGATGCTAATAATGTGTTAGTAAACATCAATATGAAGTTTATTATTCTTTCTCAAGTTATACCAAAACTGATTGGAAATCAACTGCACTATTTAATACTAACAGAATATGATGCTCATCAATAGATAGAGACCACGTGTAAAGCCTGCTGAGCATTCTAGGAACTCAGGAGCTAACACATACTGTCACCAGACTAGACACGTGAGACCTGACAGGGCAGGGCGTCCTCTCCAGCCACCTTGGAGGAGAGTCGAGCTTGACCTGAGGGCTGCTGGTGATGGTGGAACAGTTGGGGTGGGGGTCCCGCGAATGTCCCCTCACCACTGGGAGCCCTCATCCACAGCCAGAAGGATGGGAAGGTGTCAGCTCAGCTCTTCTTCCAGGGCGGCTCTGACAAGGCCACTTCCAAAGTTCTAAGCGCCATGGCCGCTGCTACTCCACGTTCTTCTTCTGGATCTTTCAATACCTTGGATCAGGTTACAGTCAAGCTAGGAGCTCTTGGGCCCTCCAAGGCGACTGTGCACTTCCCTGATCTGGGACATGACACCTAAGGTTTGGTCTTCAGAGTCTGCCCTTTTCTCCAAGTGAGGGGGACACCTCCTTCACTATAACCACCGTGTACTTACACACGCTCCTTCAGAAGTGGATGGGAAGGATTTTAACTGCCCACAAGAGGCCGATCGAGAGATGCCACCTGCCATCTGTTCATCACTGTGCACAGCAAGCCAGTTCCAACAGAGGTATACTAGTTTATCCATTTATTGCCACAGAGTCCACCCTCTGAGCCAGAGTCACTCTTGCCCCTGCCAAGCTGCCAGCAGCTCTGGGGAAGGTGAGACCAAGGACCAAGGTTGTCACTGGGGGGACCTCATGTACTGAAGGGGCAGCTGCAGCTTCCCACAGAGCAGGGTGGCCCCTCTGCCATCATCGCTGAGACTCAGCACAGTAGCTCACGACAGCGACTTGGGGTGCTTGTTTCTTCTGTGGTCTGTGGACCATAGGCGTCTACTGTACTGGGGCTCCTGTGTCAGTGGTAGGGGCCCCAGTCAGCCTGCTCCTCCATGGTTCTCTGCTCTTTGCTTCCGATGGAACAGTAGCTGATCAGAGTCTCTCTTGAGGCTCGGGTGATGATGATCTGTGGAATGGCAACTTGCTTCTTGCTCGACTTTTCATTTACATCAGGTTTCTCTAGACGGAAGAAAACATCCCAGTATTTAATAACTCTGTGGAAAAGCTCTTCCATAAAGCAGACAATGTCTGCATTAGGGCCAGAACCTCAGGAAAAGAAACAGGCAAGGTGGAAAGCAGTCACATCCGTACATGAGCATCCCAAAGCTTAAACCGACTGACAACTCCGCCATGAGAGTGGTGAATTCTAGATGTCCTCTTTCAAGGAAGAAAACAGAAGAGACACTTCCACCATCCACCATGGAGAGACTGAGCTGCCAGCTCAGGTGACAGACACTGGAAGGAGAGGAACGCCGGAGAGAAGACAAAAAGGCAGGGTCTGACTCAGACGTGAAGGTTCACATGCACAATTGCCAGAGGACTCTAAATCTGGTAAAAGCTCTCTGTATAGAACTTTATGAATCAGAATCCCCAGAAATGGACATTTCTGAGGTTGGCCACAACATTTTCTTAAACTTGTTAACGTTACAAGGAATGCACAGGACTTGTGAAACGCTGAGTTTGTCAAATATTACAAAATACAAAAGCAGAAGCTCCTGCACGGCCTCATCTCCCAGCCTGCTCCCCCGGGGCTTACAAGTTTTGAAGACCATCCTTTCAAGTCTCGCTCTCTCTCTCTGCACACATAGGTGTATGGAAATAGAGTGAGAATACTCATGTCGTCATATACTTGTTAGAAAACCTCGAGTACACCAGTCCTATTGCTTAGCAGCATGCTTTGTTCCCCACTTCATACCTCATGAACTTGGCTACCCGGAGGGATGAAAAGTTGCCAGTTCTGTGCCAGACATTGTTCTGAGCTAGAATAATGACAGTAACAACCCACGACAGCTTCTGAAGTCAGTCTTCGTATGACCTGCGTGCGTTTTACAAATGAAAGAACTGAGGCACGGAGGAGTTACATCACCTACCCAAGGCTGGGGGCAGAGGGAGATGCTGGCGTTCAGAGCCCCCTCGACCTTCCACGCTGCATCCACAGCCTCAATTGTTTGAACCACTACTGAATGACCTATGGCCTGCACTGGGCTCTGAGAGTATCCTTTTTATTTTTGGCATTAAGCCAAAAACTGCAATTTATCGTATTTTGCATTTAAGATAAATTGGAAAGTTCATTTTTTTCACATTGATTTATATAAGCCTTTTTATACTAAGACTGCTTAAAAGGTTATGAATGTTTAATTTAAAAATAATACATGTTGATTAGAAATTGCATATGGAATGATTTTCTTTTTCCAGACATTTCACATGTGCATGCACACACACTGTTGGACGCACTTAGGATCACACTGTGGAAGGTTGAGTCTCAAAGCTGACCACATGGCTTGGCTGAGCCCCATCTCCACGCACACAGGTGTGGCCCCTCCTCTTCCACAGCAGCCGGTGTGGCACTGGCCACGAACCCATCGATTACATAACCAGCTGCCTTTGATGAACATAATTTAGGTTATTTCCCGTTTTTATCTTTTTCAAACTATGCTGCAATGAACATTCTTGCATTTATGTATTGACACACTTGTGAGGGTTTATCTATTGGGTAAGTTACTAGAAGGAAAATTTTGGTAAACATTGTCAAATTGTTTTCCATAAAGATTGTATCAACTTATATTTCCATTAAGAGCCTATAAGCAGGATATTTCTCCACACCCTCCCCTGGTTCTTGTCAATTTTCTAAATCTTTTCCCATGCTATAGTGAAAATGGAAGAGGTGACTTCCACCCCCGCCCTGGTCACCATCAACTTCTCTGACAGGGAGGCTGAGCATCTCTTCCCTCGTTCACGTGCCAGTGGTATTTATTCCTGTGAATGCATGTCATATTCTTTCCTCATTTTCTTTTTTTCTCTTTTTTGTTTTGAGGAAGACTGGCCCTGGGCTGACATCCGTGCCCATCTTCCTCTACTTTATATGGGACGCTGCCACAGCATGGCTTAACATGCGGTGCGTCGGTGCATGCCCGGGATCCGAACCAGCGAACCCCGGGCTGCCGCAGCAGAGTGCAAGAACTTAACCACCTCACCACTTGGCCGGCCCCAAAGAACTAGCACTCATTTTCTACTTTGACCTTTTTGTGTGTGTGCGTGAGAGCTTTCTGTATATTTAAGAAATTTACCCTTAGTGATGTATGTCACAAACAGTCCCCTGGCTTTTTAGCTTCTCTCTGTTGCTTTTTGCAGCAGATTCATCAGTCTTTTGTTTGTTTGTTTGTTTTTGTGAGGAAGATCAGCCCTGAGCTAACATCCATGCTAATCCTCCTCTTTTTGCTGAGGAAGGCCAGCCCTGAGCTAACATCTATTGCCAATCCTCCTCCTTTTTTTCCCCCCAAAGCCCCAGTAGATAGTTGTATGTCATAGTTGCACATCCTTCTAGTTGCTGTATGTGGGACGTGGCCTCAGCATAGCTGGAGAAGCGGTGCGTCGGTGCGTGCCCCGGATCCGAACCTGGGCTGCCAGCAGCGGAGCACACACACTTAACCGCTAAGCCACGGGGCCGGCCCTCGTCAGTCTTCTCCTTATGGCTTTTAGAGTTTGTCAGACTGAAAAAGGGCATTCCCTACCCCAAATTTATAAAAATATTTACCCATTTTCATTCTGTTATCTTTTGTGTTTAGCTTTTTGATTCATATGGAATTTTTTGAGTAAGGATTGAGGTAAAAATATTAAGCCTTTTGTTTTCTCAATTGTCTAGTCAACTGTCCCGGCGCCACTTCATGGATGCTCCTTCTTTCCCCCGGTCTTTAACAGGGTACCTTGACCATGCATTCCCACGTGACGTGAGACTCTCCGTGTGACACTCATGTCAGAGGACTCGGCCTCCTCACGCCTCTGCTCTTCCAGGTGTTTCCTGCTAGTCTTACTGTGTTATTCTCCTAGGTGAACTTTAGAATAATTTGGTCCTGTTCCCAAAAAGACCTGTGGTGTTTTAATTGGGGTCACATTTATTTTAAAGGCTAAGGGAGAATGAACATCTTTACATTATTGAGGCATTCTAGTCCAAAACAAGACTTCTTTTATCAGTTTTAAAGCTTCTCCATTTAGAAAGATGAATCTTGGGGCCAGCCCCCTGGCTTAGCAGTTAAGTGTGCGCCCTCCGCTGCTGGCGGCCCGGGTTCGGATCCCGGGTGCGCACCGACGCACCGCTTCTCTGGCCATGCTGAGGCCGCGTCCCACATACAGCAACTAGAAGGATGTGCAACTATGACATACAACTATCTACCGAGGCTTTGGGGGAAAACTAAAAAGGAGGGGAGGAGGATTGGTAATAGACGTTAGCTCAGAGCCAGCCTTCCTCAGCAAAAAGAGGAGGATTAGCATAGATGTTAGCTCAGGGCTGATCTTCCTCACAAAAAAAAAAAAAAAAACATGAATCTTTTTAGGGTTCTTGATACATACTACCTGTACTAGTGTTCAATTACTGCCTAACAAATGACCACACCCGTAGCGGCTAACTTAAAACAGCACATACATTTATCATCTGTTTCCATGGGTCAGGAATCCAGGCCAAAACCCAGCTGTCAGCCAGGCTGTGTCCCCCTCTGGACCTGGGGGCCTCTTCCACACTCATTCCAGTTGTAGGTAGCATTCCTTTGTGGGTCAGGGACGGGAGTCCCCCTTTTCTTACTGGCTGTTGGTGGGGGCGGGGGTTGCTTGCAGCTTCTCTCACAAACATGGTAGTGTATTTCTTTTTAAAAACATTTCTGAAATGTAACTGGCATGGTAGCTTACTTGTTCACAGCCACCTCTCTGACACTTTTACCTTTTTTTAAAGGATTCTTTGATTAGGTCAGGCTCACCCAGGGTGGTCCCCATTTTGATTAAGTCAAAAGCAGAGGATTTTTCTTTTTTTTCTTTGTGAGGAAGACTAGCCTTGAGCTAACATCCGATGCCAATCCTCCTCTTTTTTTGCTGAGGGAGATTGGACCTAGGCTAAAATCCATGCCCATCTTCCTCTACTTTATATGGGACGCCACCGCAGCATGGCTTGACAAGCGGTGCATCGGTGCGCGCCTGGGATCCGAACCCGAGAACCCTAGGCCGCCGAAGTGGAGCACTCGCACTTAACCGCTGCACCACTGGGTTGGCCTCAAAACCAGAGGATTAATAGCCTGATCACAGGTGGGACATCCATCCTATTCATGGTTCCACCCCACATTCAAGGTGCAAATCTTTTTTTTTTTTTTGAGTTTACCATTTACATTTGTTTATAGAGGGCTTGGGGAGATACTGTGCATTTTAATGTAGTCAAAACCTTCAATATTTCTTTGTAATGTCTTTGTTTTTACGCTTAGAAAGATGTTCCCCATTGAGGAATCAGATTAAAATTTACATCTTATTTTTTGTAGTCACTTTTTTTTTTTTTGATCTTTTTTTTTTTTTTAAGATTTTATTTATTTATTTTTCCCCAAAGCCCCAGTACATAGTTGTCTGTCATAGCTGCACATCCTTCTAGTTGCTGTATGTGGGACGCGGCCTCAGCATGGCTGGAGGAGTGGTGCCTCGGTGCGCACCCGGGATCCGAACCCGGGCCGCCGGCAGCGGAGCGCACGCACTTAACCACCAAGCCACGGGGCCGGCCCTGTAGTCACTTTTTGTTTTGTGTTTTTGTGAGGAGATCAGCCCTGTGCTAACATCTGATGCCAATCGTCCTCTTTTTTTGCTGAGGAAGACTGGCCCTGGGCTAACATCCATGCCCATCTTCCTCCACTTTATATGGGACACCGCCACAGCATGGCCTGCCAAGCAGTGCATCGGTGCGCGCCTGGGATCCAAACCTGCGAACCCTGGGCCGCCACAGTGGAGCGCGCGCACTTAACCACTTGTGCCACAGTAGTCACTTTTTATATTCACTGTTATCCATCTGGAATTTATCTGAGCACACAGAAGGTTACATTCCAACTTACATTTTCCCTTAAAATGTTAAGTAATTTTCCTAGCATGATTTATTATATAATCCTTCCTTTTCCACTTACTCTTGGTGCCAGTTTTATCATGCACTAAATAAATACACACTCACATAGAGTAGGGGCTTATTCTTGTCCATATTTTCTATTTCACTCATCGGCTATTCTTCTACTGGAACTACAT